GAGGGACGGGCGGCACTCCGGCCGCGCCGCCTCGGCCCCGCCCGCCCGGGGGAGGGACCCGCGGCTCTCCCGTGCGCCCGTGAGCTCATGGGCCGGGCGGTTTTCCAGGGCCTCTCGGACATTTCGGTTCCTCCAGGCCTGCCTTGGCCCGTCACCTGTGCAACGCGACGAGGGGCTCGATGTGCGCCGGGAGGAGCAACGCGTTTCGCTGAGGCGAAGGGGGCTTCTCTGGTTCAGCGCTTCCAGGGGCGCAGCCTAGAGAACATGTTCGCAGGCACGTGAGAACAGTCCCAGCAGCAAGGGAATCTCACACTGTTCAAACGTTCCAGCAGACAGGTACCCTCGCCATCACACCACTCTCTTCTACCTTTCTACTTTCTGCCAGAAGTCTCCCCAGAAATCATCTCACAGTAGCATGTGTACTCACGCCAAGCTTGCTGGATTCGCTTGGAGGTTATTCCCACACTTCTGCCACTGCATTATCTCAGCAGCCCTGTGGTCAGAGGATGAGGAGAAACCACTGCAGCATGACACCTAATCACCTCTTTCCCTCTTTGCCAGTTCCCAGTGCTCCCACAGTTCTCCTTGATTACACCTTAGGACACTCGTTCCTCTCCCGTTTCTTTCATTCCCTTTCTTACAAAAGGGCTTTAAAAAAAAAAAAAAAAAGGAGCCAACACTTCTTTAACGAACTAAGTAAATTCTCAAACAGGCTTTTATAAAGACAGGCAAACATTTTGAAGTAGTGTCACAAGTAGCCAAGTTTCCTGGTTTTTGTAGCAGCAAAGTATGTTCTGTTTAGAGTAATGTTATTCATTGCTCTAAAGAGATTGTGTGCAGTTTTACCCCTTCATCAGAAAAAAACCCTACAAGCCCACCAAAAACTTAACAAATGCCCATCATAGCTGACACTTCAGGCACTGAGACATTTTTAGGATTATTCTGTAATTTTAGGATTATTCTGTGGGAACAGCAGCAGATCAGATCACCTGATAGAAGGCCAGGCCTACCTCAAAAACAACAAAAGAAACCTCCCACGTGCTTGCTGCTTTGTTCAAGATATTTGAAAACTAATGACCCTTTGTGGTAAAGGCTTGAAATTTAAAACATCTACAACAATTGTTATGCTACAAGGAGCAAACCACATAGATGAAAGTATCACATTTCTGTAATTGCAGATTTAAGCTCCAAATATTAGAGGAATTTCTCTTCTCACAGAGAAAAAATCATTAGTACTTCTAGGCACTTATTGTATAGAAAGTAAGACGTATTCTTTCTGGTAAAATTTATGTCAGTAAAGAAGAAAAAAGGTAGAATGACTAAAATTGCAGGTGGAATGATTAAAATTACAGCAAACCTTCAAACCCTTAGAAGCATTTTTCTTTGACACTAAGAACTTGATTTTTTTTTTTCAGATGACATAAGTTTAATAACCAGGGACATGCCAACTGCACACAGTCCTGACAACAGGACTATCAGTCACACTACCTGTGGAAAACAATTTCTGCGTCTTTGGTTTCCCAAACTCAGAAGTTAAGCAGAGGTTAGAGTGATATGGCAGTACAGAGGCTCTACCTAAGGCACTGTTAAGAAGGGGAGTAACCTCCTGTTTCCTTTTTTTCCCTGTACAAGTGTTAGAAAATGAGGAAGCAGATGAGTAGGCTAGCTGGGACTTTAGGAATGCTGCAATACTGCAGTGCAGGAGCTTGAACAGAGCAGGAAAACAGAAAGCTGATTAAGGGGTAATTCTACGGGGGTAAAAAAAGCACTAAAGGTGACCAGTAGCATGGCACTTGAGCCTTTGTCCATCCTTGTTTTGCTAACTCTGGGGTAGGACATGTCTTGCTGTAACCTTTTCGGTTGGAGTAGGCCTGAAGAGGATATAAAAAGCTTTTACAGTTGCTAAGACTCATCCTTAACACTTTGTCCACTGTGTATCATCACTCTTGTTACTTTCTAGCAGTGTTAAGTCAGACTTCTTTGGCAAAACTCTTCTTCCTTTACGAGCACAGTACTTAAAATACTCATATTTGGAAAATGGGTTGATTTACACTACAAGAGAGTAACAGCCCTTAACGAGACACTTCACATTTTAACTCTTATGTTTTATCTCGTATGGAAGTATCCAAGTGTACCAGGAAACACTGCAAATTGCAGCATTCCATAAAATAGCAGCATTTTACTCATGCAACAGTTCTTCACAAGGAATTACATGCCTACAGACCATACAGAACATTCCTTTCCGTGCTGTGTAACTTATCGTTACAGCCAAGCTGACAGAGAACCTGACAGTTTAAGATAAAGAAACTTCCCTGCCCAACCAAGCGTAATTAAGATCAACATTAAAAAAAAAAAAAACTGAAACAATTAAGATAAATAAATAAATTAATTTTAAAAATAGCTGCCTCAAAGTGTTAGCAACTACCAAAACAAAATAGTACTCAGAGTATCCAAGGATTTTCATTTTCTACTCTTTAGATAGTGTATCTATACATGCACATGACATTCCAATAAGGAAAAGCAACAAAATTTCGTTCCGTCACATAATGTTACCTTTCTGCAGACTTTCTAGAGTAATAAAACACAAGTGATCTATTTTTCCAAAAAAAAAAAAAAAATTCCTGAGCGGTCCCTTTTGAGTTGATTGGTTTGTCATTTTATTGGGTTGTTTTTCTTTTGCCTCGGGGAAAGAAATTACAAGAAGCTCCATTTGGCAATTATTAGATGTGTTCTGTTCCAGAGAATGTGACCAAGTGCCAGAAGAGAAGCATGGGAACAAAACACCAAAGAAGTTTACCTGGGTTACTCATGGATAACACACCAGATTCAACCTCTCGCTCTGCCCTGAGCCTGTCCTTTCCAGCGCGGACAAACTACCCGCTCCAAGTTCAGCACGGTACCCTTGCTTGGAACGCAGCGGCCAAAAGTTGTACGTCTTTTGGACCCTTTTAAAAGTAGAAAGGATTTTAAATTAGGCTGGGAAATTCGAGCACAATGAAGGCACTGGCAAGTATAAAATTGGAATCACAGCGGGTATCTTAATTAGCTGATACAAGCTTATTTTCTTTACTAGGTACTGCACGTAGAAAAACATCAAAGCAGTACCAGTGTTTGTTGTGTGAAGCTTTTATCATGTCCTGTAGATTAACTGCTCTCCTTGTGCTACAGCTCGCGCAGGAATAAAAAGGATTACAGGATGACAGCAAAGATGCACTTTGAACACCTGTTAACAAGAAAGACAAAAAACCCCTTCGTGTGTAACTGGTTTTTTAGGACTTTTATTGAAAAACTTTAAAACCAAAAAAATCACCAAGGCCAGCTTTACAATAAGGTTAAAACATACAGAATAGCTTACCTGCTACTGTGGATTTAGCGCAGGAATCTTATTCCAGTATTTCTCTCATGCAATTGCCTGATTAAAATCACATTCTCATTTAACATCAAAATGGATTATTTATACTTTTTTAGGATTTAACCTTAAAATCTGGTTTAAAAAGTCAATTTTCCAAAGGTTAAAAACACGTACACAGCAAGATTCCCCCCCCTTCACAGACCACCTAATAGCTCCCTGTGTCTGATAACTGGCAGAAATAGACCACAGAGCTCATTTTTTCCTTTTTGTTACTCTAACCTGAGAAATTTCTTAAATAATGCTTGCTGAGCTTTCATATTTGGCAACACGACTTTAGCTACGGAGCCACGCGTGATTTCTCATTCTTGTCAGAAACCAGCCTTTCACTCCTTGTCCCAAAAGGCACACTCACAACCAGGAGTGGCACTGGCCTAAATCTCCATCTGTGACTAGATGGATAAATTAAACCTTGTTACTACTACCATTGGAACACTAACCTCAGGATGTCAAGTTCCCATCAGTTGTGTAATTCCCAGTATTGTGCGCTTTGAAAATATTTACTTTGGCATGTTATACTTTGTAGCGTAGTTGATTTTTTTTGTGCTTACTGCCGGCCTCTACAAAATCTGTCTTTTCTCTCTTGCATTTATTCAAGCCCTTTCCCTTGCCACCACATCTCTCCCTTTCTCATAGCTGCAACAGAAACAGGACAAAAAGCACACAATTACATTTAAGATGTGAGAGCTCTAAAAGTTGCTGAACAGCAGAGTGGTCTTGTAAAGCACTCTTAGCTGATGAACGAGCGTGTAAATTGTAAACCCCGTAAATGTCTTAGTACAGTATTCAAGCCGTCAATTTTAAATTTGAATTCAAACCCTCCAATATTCAGTGTTTACTGGATTTAAAAGTGTTAGTCACTTCACACGTGCTCCAAATATACACAAAGCCAATGCTGTCCAAAGAAATTCTGGAAAACCACTTGAGGGAAGGAATTTCACCTCCGAAAGAGCAGAACTTCTTTTGCCTTTTCAGTAAATCTGTATCTTAAATAATCTGGGTTATTATGAATTGTTGCTCTTCAGTTTTACCTGAACATACCTGATTTTCAGGTGAACCATGACTACTTCACAGTTATTAGTCCTGTCAGAGTAAAATTCAAGAAAATATATAAACCAAGCTTTGTTTGCTCCATACTCTGCCTGCTGCAAAATCTTCACACTGACCACAGAGATCAGAAGTGCTTGATTGGAAAGGTGCAGAAGCTGAACAGCCCAATTTGTTTCAGGGTAACCCTGGTCGTGACTGTACTAAAATTAATATTGAAGTGTTTCAGTTTTCAACCTCTCTGCGAATTGGCTTTAAGAGAATGTTACAGGAGATTACCACAAGAAAAGACATGGAGAGAGAGTCACTACATGACAACTTTATATGATATTGTATTTTGTTGGCATTTTTGATCCCCAAAGAGGATTTTCTTGAGTGTGTTCAAGATCTGAATTTTTTTATTTTCCATCGATTTAAAAAAACCCAAGTGATGAAAAATAAGGAGCAACCTGTTTTAATAACATTTAGGCTCATGCATTTTTAAAATTATACCACGAAAATGTATTTGGCATATCAGCACTGAGTGTATACTTTAAAAAGGACTTCTGTTGAAATATTTCCAGCAGGTCTTCATAGCACCATATAATCTGCTATTGATTTAACTGCCTAAAACGAGACATTGCTTGTAAAGTGAAATGATGAAATTTCTGTATCTTCTACCATTCCTTAAAAATAAACAAACAAAAAAAATCTAGAAATTTTGGTTATCCAACTGAATTAATGTAAAGAATTAATAACCAGACACTTGATTTTCACTTATTCCAGTTTTGTGAACCTGACTGATGAACTGCTACATGATCCTTCCGGAAAGGGAAAGTTATTTCAGAGGCAGAAAAACTTCATGGGGTGTACTGAATGAAAACGTCCCCCTCTCACTTTTCACTGAATTGTCACAGTCTCCTTTCGCAAGATTTGATGCTGCCCCTCCTATTAAACAGCTCATTTTCAATTCATAATTGAAGAGAAAACCAGTGACAAACACAGGAGGCTGAGCGCTGGCAAAGCTGTGGCACAATACAACGGGAGCAGCGTGGGCACGGGGAGGCAAGAGGAAACCCAGGTATCTGGAACACACCAGAGACACAGTAAACACAAGAGAGCAGCTTAGCCATACAGCACGTTTGACATTCTTTCAGTACTTAGATCGGTCTGTTTTCCACTGACACACGATTCAGAACTGATTCAGAACTCAAGGAACACACAACCTGATCAGACACAAAGTACGCGAAGGCTGACGGTCGCCGCCCGTTGTTTGTTCACAAGGTAATGCTGAAGCAGCTGGGTCAGAATGGCACCGGATTGAAATGAAAGTAACGCTGGCACTTCACCATTGCTGGTTATTGTTACCTACAACAGCCAAAGTCAGTGGCTACTCGATGTTGCAAGCGGCTTGTTTTCCAAATATGAGTTCCAGGACGCTGAATTTACAAATGAGATCAGTTTGAATGCATTGTGAAGATTTTTCAGACAGCGTATTTCTGAAGAAACCGGTCAAACGCATCGTAAATTGCTTGTCTGAAACAAGGGGAAAAGAAGATAATTTGTATAATTTGGGAAGGGGAAGATACAAGGGGTGTATTTCCATATATTTACAAATGTATATACAAAATGTATATACAAGTTCAAAACAGCATTCAATAAAAATGTGATGTCAGGTAGTGTTTTCTCCTTCCTTTATATCTGGGATCTCTCACTTCAATTCAGTAATATATTTATGTTTCAGGAATGAGTGGGACTATTTACCAACTATAATGTGAGTGAAAATATTCATGAATTAGTTTTCTACTTAAACACATCATAAAATGGGTCAAAGACATGCATTACTTACAATTTTTGATGAACTATCATAAAATAAGGCTGAAGTTTTAAATAGTAATAAACTAGTGGTCAGTACACCTTGGACTGACACAGTGTTGTTCCTTTCTGTTGTTGCTTAGACTGCCTAAATGGGATGTACAGTCTAATTCCTTATATTTTAAAATTAACTGCACAAGTATTTAACTTTTTAAACACAGAACTGCCTTTATATAACTGATTTATATAACTGTCTTTAGAAAGCCGACACCTAACATTACAAGGCAAGAATTCATGCAAGTACTACTACTCATTTGCGGCCAAACTTATATATTAATAAAATCTAGACTATTTTTTTAAACTTTTCTGTTCACCTTACCTAAAGAGTCCTTGTTTGAAGAGGTAGGCACTGACATGACCTCCATCCAGATATCTAATTTCACACCCCGGCCAGATTTCTTGAAGACTGCGCACCCCAGTGCGAGGAATATACGCGTCCTCCTTAGCTTGGACAACTATGATCAAACTTGGGTCAACTGGAACTAAAAAAAACAAATCAAAATTTAATTCTTCTAAGCCAGAAACAGGACAATTGAGATTTCTGTTGCAAAAACGCTATTTCTAAAAAAAAAAAAAAAAAAAAAAAATTAAATTATTCTAAGCTTTAATAGAATTTATCTGGGCTTTGACGTTACAGTAGTGAGGCTGTCAGCAGAAAAACAAACATCCTTTCACTTCCCTCCCCTAAAGCAGAAAACTTCACCAGTCTTTGAGGAATGATAGGAGAATTATCTTTCCTCTTGTCAACAAAATCTACAGCATTCACATTAGTTCTTTGAGATCCATTTTTTTCAGCAAAAAGAACTATGAAAATTCAGCCGAGTAGAAGCTTTATGTAACCCTTTTTCCTCGAGGAGAGGCAAAAAGACTTTTCATACAAGGTCAGGCAAAGTGCAGCATATGTTCACTTTCTTTTCTGTTTCCTACATGGTTTAGCTGCAACACAAAAATCCCAACATACTGTTATACGTATTTACTATTCATAACCAGAGTTGCACCAATGAGATTATTAATAGGAAAAACATCAAAATTATGTCGAGAAAAATGACAGCAAATTGAGGTTGAACACAGAACATTTCTCTCTTCGAGAAAAAAACTATATGTGGTACGTTAAAGATGTTTGGCAATGGGGTGTCACCAATCACTTAGACCCTCCCTTCTTTCAACACGTAGAGAGAACACACAATTCTAAGATAGAATCTAGTCTTCCATCCCACTTCCCATGAAATCTGAGCGTCAGGCAGATTTTCTGAAGCTCCTCTCTAGCCACATTTCAAGGACACCCTGGCAGGGGATGCCAACATCTCCTAGAGCATGACTGTCACCTGGGAGACTGCTGACAGGAAGGAGCACAGCACTTTGACAGCTCTGGGAAGCAAGCACTTGTTTGCATTGCTGCAAGCAGGCAGTGTAAAGGATTTGTCCTAAATGCCAAGGAAGGCTGGGCTGCAGCTCCCTCTATATGCTATATCCTGTCCTGGGAAACTGGATTCTCCAGGCTGTACTGTCCCAGAAGGACCTCTCTGTGTGTTTTTACTGGTCACACTTGTCCAGCAGCGGCATTCAAGCTTGGTTCTCAGCTGTGCTACTTTCTCTCTGAAGTCAAGATGAGCTTTTTGCCTTATGAAACCGACTTGAGAAACCTCATTAGCAGATTAGTTCCAGGTATCACTCACGCTGCGCAGGTGTTTCGTTCTTTTGGATGATACAAATTTGCACTAACTCGTATCTGAGCAGAGCACAGCGAGGCAGAGGAGAAATGGGCAAAGATACTGGAAAGCAAATTTTTAATTTACTATGTCATTAGTTGGCCATCAAGAAGGAACAGGAAAACAATTAGGAAATGGAGTGGTAAACAGACATTACTGAACAACGCTCACGATACTTCCACGTTTCAGCCAGC